TTAACATATGATTTGTATTGATTGTCACACAGTGGAAAGTTCAGTACTGAGAAACAAATGTAGAGACTATATAGTAAAATTAATTGTGTTTTATGGCCTTGTATCAATAACTGAACTGGCCTTGGGGTCTACAATGATGACAATAACACAAACTCACAACTTTACGATATTCCAAGTTTCTTTGTCAATAAATAAACTGGCATAGGGGTTTGCAGTGTTGAAAACAACACAACCTTACGACGAAATCTTAGCGCTGTTATTTTCAAGCTTGAATAGAAAAGACGATGCCGTAACGTTACAGGAAAATGTTGGTTTCAGGCAAAGATTCGGACTTACTGTATTGATCTGAAAAATGTAATACATATCTTTGGTAACATTTTAATTTATGGGACCGTAAGCAAAAAAAAAACCAAATATAACAAGATGAATTGATTTGAATAAAGTAGGTGAGTGTATACACTATAGTTTTGGCTAAATCTGTAACAAACTGCGTGAATTAGAAAAAAAGAACCTGCCTCATTGGACATTCATTTTACGTAAACAAAATTTGCTGCTAGTGAATTATAAAATAGCAAGTCTTTCTCTTTACAAACACCCAGTTTTATTCATATTATGCAGTGGAAGATAACCAATGTCAAATAAACCGAGGTCAGACAGGGCTAGGTTTGTGTGAATAATGCTGCGCATATTTTCATCTACGCACCTTTGGATTCCTACTAGAAAATGTACTGATGCAGAAGAAAAACCCGTGCCAGTGACAAAATTCTAAAAATGAAAGATATTAGAAAAGGAAGAAAATGTACTTTTGTGATGTTCTGGACAATTCATTGTGATGCTTATCCACAAGAATATCCGCCCCCACCAAAAAATATTAAGTGCTTCTATGTGTTTGTTTATTATTGTTTTAAGTATAGATAAGACATACATACACACACAAGCACACACATTTTGTAATGAAGAGTTTTAATTTTTGTGCCATTTGGCAGTCTCTTGATAGATATTACAATTATACCATATTTTGATTTTTTAAAAGGGGAGTATCGAAGTTACTCCAGAAGTCTTGTTGGAAGAGTATTTTTCAAGACACACTGTGATAATCTTTAACCAGAATTTTAACTGTTGTGTCTCTTACATTATTACAGGCTGAGAATACATAAAAAAATATCTCTTATGTAGACGAGTTTCTCTCAGTCTGTCCTACATTCCCCTACAAAATAGTACACTTCAGTTCTATACATTGCCCAAAACTCATAAAAAATTTTACCACAGTTTACCTTAAATTATCCAAGACGACCAATTATATCTTATTGTAATTCATATCAAAACTAAATAGATAGTGTTTTGAACTCTAATGAAATCGCTTCATTCACATGTTAAAGATACTGCTGATTTAAAAAAAATATAATGAAAATTGAAGTCTATTCCAATACTTTCTGGTAAATTTTTCCTTATATTTTAGTGATAACATGACTATATACAAACATACCGCATGCAGATGGTTTTGAGGCGTGTAAATATTTTCTTGATAAAAATACTTGTAATAACAAACAATCGAGTGAAGATAATTTCCAATTTAACAGTACGAATTTCATCCAAATAATGGGTACGGCAATGGGTAGTCATATTTTCTCCTTTATACCCTTTTCATGGGTAAATTATAAAAAGATTTTCTTGAATACCAGACTTTTAGTCCCACTGTTTGGTTAATATTTTTAGATGACATCTTTATGACCCGAACCATGCTGAAGAAGAACTGTACAAATATATTGATCGCCTAAATCATTTGCACCCGACAATTGAATTTCCTTATACTGCATCTGGTACCCATGTATCGTTTTTAGATGTAAATGTATTTTAAAAATTATGATAATATTATCTCTACAAATATTCGTATAATTGTAACTTCTATCCACCAATATGTGGAATATTCTTCTTGGATACAGTTTATTAGATACATTTGTTGTCTTATAATGAAGCTGGCGAAGAACCACAATATACAGTGAATAATAGCATCCAATTATTTTGCAATACATAGCTGTAGTACTGATGGTTTAGTTGTACAACTCCAAAAATCATACATTCTAAAAATTCCTAAAAATTACAATGTAACAGATCCAATACAAAAGAAGCGTTTCCTCCATGTGATAACACTGATTACACATCAGCTGATGTGATTTATTTAATAACCTGTACAAAATGTAACATGCCATATGTTGGACAAATACTTCATCACGTTTCTATGAGAACGAATAATGATCGCTTTTAGATCAAAAAAGTTTGGATCCTCAGCCGAAAACAATCACTCTTTGATTTTTCTTTCATGGGAATCCATATTGTACATGTAGAGATGAATGGACTGATTAAATAAAGTTACTGGGTTTATATGTTAGATTCTCTCCGCGCGCGAAGATTATGTATGTCGTTTCGTTATAGTCAGTCATGCCTCTCAATTTCTCAGGATATGACAGGCAATTGTTTTAAAACTGTTATTCAAACACAAGGAACTAAATTTCCATCAGTCATCTTGAATGGAGCAAAATTCAATTACATGCACGGGAAACGTATTTGTTACATATTTCATTAGTTATCTGGCTGTGCATTTAGCGATAATGACAGATACGGACAAAGGTTATTTTCCTCACTTTTTAATACTGAAGTCATATCAGCACGTCTTTCTCCTGCGTTTGCCAGAAGCCTAGTTTGAAAACCCCGAAGGTATGTACACACAACAATGATAATCATTCTGCACCTGACACCAAGTCCGCTATTAGGACCTTTATGATTTTCAATCAGAAATGCTGAAATATCGTCGATTCGATATAAACATCTTACTTTTCTTTATTGGGAGAAGACATTTCGATAATTATTTATAGATCATAGAGGTATTGCTCCATCGAAAGGGACTGTTATCATTATCAGAGCTCTATTACTTGTGTAAAACGCAACACATGCATAATACAAACGACAGTGAAGAAAATAAGACCAGATCTTATTCTGTGGATGAATGGGATTTAGGAAATCCACAGATTGTGTACGAATTTAATGGATATTTATTTTATGGATGCCTCACTTTATTTCCTCAAGAGACCGAAAATGAAATCGACGGCAATGATACCAAAAGATGGAAATGTGGAAACACGACTACGATCGTATTTTCAAAACAGATCCATAATTCGAAGGCATCGATAGAGAGTACAACGTAATTGACGTCGGACCTTTGAATCTTGGAGACTGGCTGGTGGACGAACCAATGTTGAACGCTTGCTGTACGAAGAGAACGAATCTCAAGGTGTGTGTATATATGTGTGTATGTATGTATGTATGTATGTATGTATGTATGTATGTATGTATGTATGTATGTATGTATGTATGTATGTATGTATGTATGTATGTATGTATGTATGTATGTATGTATGTATGTGTGTGTGTGTGTGTGTGTGTGTGTGTGTGTGTGTGAGCGAGAGAGAGAGAGAGAGAGATTTGGATTTTTAACGTAGTTTTAACAGTTTTTCAGTCATAAAGTGTGGCAGTTTATAGTAATGTCTAGCACTGGGGCATCATGCCGCAAACATGCAGCATGATGTCCCACCCAGTCACATTATCATGACACCAGGCCCACCAGTCCTAACACTGACCTCTTAATGCTGAGTGCCAAGCGAGGCAGCTGTTAGTACCATTTTTGTAAGTCTTTGGTATGACTCGGCCGGGGATCGAACCACGACCTCCCGCATCCGAGGCGGACGCTTGTAACCACTTAAGCCACCGGAGCGGAGAAGAAATCAAATTCGTCGATGGGTATTCTTTTTATTCTTGGTTGTGTACACATGCTCGACTTTCCACATGACACAATAGAATTTTGACAGAACACATATATATATGAAACACATTCGCAAGTACAAATGCTTGATCAGATGTCAAGTTTTGATACAGAATGGTACCAATCTAAAAGGCATAATCTTTGAACATGTCAAATAGAACGAACGGAGGAGATCGTTTGCTAAAGTGATGCTGATCTATTTGTGTAGAAACCCGGCTCAACGTCTGATATTGCCAAAGACCAAACTTTGTACATCAAACTTAATGCTTTCAATACTTCGACAATAAAAGAAAACTCATTAAACACGCTAAGATTTGATACGATGAAATCCATGAGTTTGCGCTATCCCACAAGTTTGGCAGCGTTGTCATTGATACATATGTGACAGACAATTCCTATTTAAAATTGTACTCCATCCTGGAACCTTCAGGAGACCGAATCCTTTTCTTTGATATCGATTGTTGTATATACAGAGATTGACATGGAGTCAATCACCCACGCATCGTAAACGACCGTTCAGGAACTTGGACCGACGAACTTCGAGACGAGACTATTTTGAGTGTTCAAGTGATGGACCTACCAATTACTGTTGCCAGTACAGAGATAAATAAGGACAACTTCATGCCAAATGTAAAGTGAAAGAACTGAGCCTCAACTATTCTAAGAGTCGAGTAGTTAGCTTTGACATATTAAAATAATGTTAAGATCAAGACTTTCACGTGAATACTGTGGATCCTCATCACGTACGTTTGTCAGATGATCAAATTGTGCATTCGACCCTTGCAAAAAGTGTATCTGATCGTCTCCGATAAGCGTATGCTACTTATCACAACACATTAACATACGGACACAATTCTTGCCATGCCACTTATATTGTAATCAGCGCTGCACCAGTTTCCATGGAATTAAGTGTACGACAATGTTTAAGACAATGGATTGCCACACGGCTGTAAAAGAACAAATTCCCCCAAACGAGATGATTTCAATAAATATTGGACGTAGTGTCATGCATGTGTAAATGACTACATTTCTTGGATTTTGTTTATCAGCTGATTCTTTACGGTAAATTTATGAAAAGTGTGTGTATGTGTGTGTGATAAGAAAGACATCCCTTACGTTTGCGGAAGTTCATTCTAAGAACATTGTTCTACCTATATTTGTGTATTTTTTACTCCCCTTCCCCACCATTCCGGTGGCTTAAGTGGTTAGAGCGTCCGCCTCGGATACGGAAGGTCGTGGGTTTAAACCCCGACAAAGTCATAGGTAAGACTTATACAAATGGTACTAACAGCTGCCTCGCTTGGCGTTCAGCATTAAGAGGTTAGTGTTAGAACTGGTCGGCCTGGTGTCAGTATAATGTGATTGGGTAGCACAATACTAAATGTCTACGATATTATGCCCCAGTGCTAAACTTCACTATAAATTGCTCCACTGCAGACATCGTAGCAATATGACTGAAAAATTGAACACACACACGCACGCACGCACACACACATCTCTCACCTTGGATTAGTAACAGAGTTACAACTGAATAATTGCAAATATGTGTCAATCATGCCTTATATGTTTGTTTTAAGTTGGTGTATATTATAATGTCTGCCATAGTTTAAATGTTAACGTGAAATAAACGTAGAACCGTTTCATGTTTCTTATATATATATATATATATATATATATATATATATATATATATATATATATATATATATATATATATATATATATATATATATATATATATATATATATATATATATACCGGAAAATGGAAAATGTTTCAGTAGTCTTTGGCTTGGATTCAAAAAAACAAGCGTTACTCAGATTGTTACGAATGAAAGATTGAGTTTTTTAATTTGTGACAAAATTGAACTCTCGACAGCAGCATTTTCTTTCATTGTCTTCAACCTGACTTTTAAACTTGCTAAACGAAAAACGACCTCAAGGTCACATCAGTGTATGGTAACTTAATAGATCAGTCTCATATCAGATTCTACCTTCCTGTAGGGGAAAAAAATCGCTCATCGCGTTGTGTAAGTGAAGCGTCAGTGTGTTTATGAAGATAACATGGGTAGTGAGGACGAAAACTTGTAAATTTGTACATAAATATTTGATGAATGAGAAAACAACAGCATAATGCTGTTTTATTATGATTCCTTTTTCAAACATAACTCGATAACATTACTCAGTCGTTTTAGTGGGGAAACTACATCAAATAGAGGTAAATAGGATGTATGTAGTATTACTGCTGAATCCACACAATTCAATAATGTGCAATTACAAGGAGGGTAGTATTCTAACAGTGAATGTGTTTTAAGTCATCAGTGCATTTTTTGGATTCCTATTAGAACATAAACTGACGCAAAGGCAGAACATATGCAGCCAGTAAAGAAATTTGAAAGGGGAAGAGAGTAACAAGAAAAAGAGGTGGACTTTTGTTACGTGTTTCTTTTTTAAAATTTAGTTGTGGTTTTTACTCATTAGAATATATAATAAAATGTAATTGTCTCTATATCTCGAATTTGAAAGACGAATAAGATATTCAAACAGACACAGACTAACAGGCACACTCTCTCACTCTCTCTGTCAATCTAATTTTTTTGGTACAGTCTCTCTCTCTCTCTCTCTCTCTCTCTCTCTCTCTCTCTCTCTCTCTCTCTCTCTCTCTCTCTCTCTCTCTCTCTCTCGTTCATATCATAATGACCTTCATAGTCCGAGTTTGCAGTAGTTAAAATGTCAATGTGAAAATAATGTAGAATTTTAAGCAAATTTTAAAATAAATTAGTACTTTTATATCTCTACATCTTAAGCAATTTATATTTTAATATAATCTGTAGTTTAAAATCTCTCTAACACACACACAAATACACACACACACACACACACACACACACACACACACACACACACACACTCTCTCTCTCTCTCTCTCTCTCTCTCTCTCTCTCTCTCTCTCTCTCTCTCTCTCTCTCTCTCTCTCTCTCTCTCTCTCTCTGACTTGTAGTCCAATTTGGCGTAGTAAAAATGTCTCCGTGATAAGTGATAAACGTGATAAAAGGTAGAACCGTTGTGTTTCTTTACAGGGTCCATTTCACTCACGATGTAAAGTGTTAAATTAGATTTGCCGTTTTGAAACTGGCATCGAAAAATGTTTCGATCAATTCTTGAGTTGGTGAGAAAAAAGAAGAAAAAAATTATTGGATGTGTCACGAAATAAATTGAAACTAAAATGAAATTGAATCTGTCCTTGAAAAAACACAAACTTGCAACCTTACCGAAAGAAAGCCATAACATCATATAGACAAGTTAGATTGAAAATCTAGCAAAATAAAGGTGGTCTCAAAAGCAGTTCGTATTTAATAGTTTCATTCCTCGTCTTAAATCTACCCCTCAATTTGTAACACCGGATAAGTGAATGTAAAATCAATGTAAGGCTGTCGGATAGAATTGTAAAAGAAAATTAACCAAAGAAATTTAGAACCATATCATACACATGCTCTATACTGTCTGACAAAGTATAAAAAAAAAATCCTCCAAAAAAAAATCTTCATGCAGCGTACCATACTTTTTTAAAAAAAAATTACAATTAAACAGACCATGGATACAAAAATAGGCTAGACAGTGTACTTACAATTAAACAGACTTTGGATACAAAAATAAGCCAGACAGTATACCTTTTGCAAAATTTGTAACATTTGTCACCAACTGATGAATGAAAATTTGCCTGACTTAACAAACACTAAATACGTTTGAAATACAAGTGGCTGCCGCTATAGGTCGCAATTTTGTTAGCGAGAATCTTAAATTTAGGTACGATACAATTTTACCCCATCCTCCACTATTGGGATTCAATACTGTATTGATAAGGATATTTTTGTTTGTAAAAAGTAAGCAAATGCCTGTCCTTACATGTCTTGAATTATTCTTCTTTCTATCCTGTCTTAACTTTCCGTAACACCACTGGTCAGGATGAGACAGCTCATGATAATAGTGAATAGTAATAGAGGTAATATATATATATATATATATATATATATATATATATATATATATATATATATATATATATATATATATATATATATATATATATATATATATATATATATATAGGGAAAGGTACGTTACATTATCTTTATAGGGATAATAGTGAGGTAAAGGATATGGAGATTAATTTTTCTTTAAAAGGAAATTGAATTCTATTTTCATACACCTTTCTTTTATATCGTACCCTTCCCTATCTTAATGAGTAAATGTGATGAGTTTTGGTTGGTTAAAAAGAGGTGTTGGTTAGTAGGTGTATGAGTATTTGATAGTAATGATAGGGTAAGGGATGAGACCAGATAGGCAGGCGCCCACCAACTACGTTAAATTCCTGTTAGATGTCATAATGCTATTCCCATGTTTAAAGCCATTTCGAAGCCAGAGTGCCATATAAAAGTTAAGCATGAATCGTAATGTTAATTCCTGTTGAAGATCACATAAGGGGTAAAAGAATATAACCACGTTAAGTTCATCTTGGAGTCCAAATAATCCCCAGATTGTTAAATTCTCCTATTCCCCATACAGGTCCACACATGTTAATCCTTGGACATTTTGACTTCTCATCAACTCACAGCATGGCCGTGTAGCAAATCAAAGTAATTAATTATATGATTCCCCATCTTGACGCCAGAATTCGACAGGGTGGCTGAAAAAATATGATTTAAGATTAAATTTTCCATTTTGTCCCTAAGTGGCATTATATTAATGGCCCAACTATTGTACATGTAACTCCTCAACATTTGTTAAACAACATAAGGTAGTTATAAGCCCAAGCCATCAGGTTTAGCCGCACATAATGTCACAACATCGAACTGTTAAATAACATGCACAGCAGAATTATGTAATCTGAACTAAAAAATTAGAGTTAGAAGATGGTCTTACGACCATGCCATCATGCCTCACTCTAGGGTCCAGAAAAGCTAACCCCATATATAGCAATTAAAAGGTAGTATACACCCAACCAACCAGGTCCAACAGCACAAGGCTGTAAAAAAAAAAATTAAAAAAATGAAGTACCTTCATCCCTATAAGATTGAAACTGCCTTGAATACGATGATATAAGGTGGCTAAAACCTTCAGGCCCAGTCACACAATCAAAAATAACATTGTATATATTATTCAATATCAGTGAAAATGCATGTTAATAACAGTAATAATAATGAAGTATTATTATTATTTTTATTTAGTAGCTTATTTTGACACCACATTGCAGTTTTAATTTAAATATTTATCATTCTCTTTAATGATAAATTCCAACATGATGCCTGTCTCTCTTTCAAAATTCTGCCATGACTGCCTGACCTAACCACATCTTCATCCCAAGCATTAGTCATTTCCTGGTGATATAGATGCAGGGGACAGTTTTTTATGCATAAATTTAATGTTGCCTGCTTAACACAAAAATTCAAAAAATAAAATAAAATACATGAGAGATGTAAAAAGATCCATATTTTTGGATAGGTATAATAAAGCCAAACATAAAAATATTGATCACTTGCCCTTACAAGTCAATTGGAATTCATAGAATATAAGGTTGATTCATCCCACCCACAAATGTATACATGCATTTTTCATGCCTGAAGGGGATGTAATTTTAAAAATCATTGTGTACTTAATAGTTTGATGCAATTCAAAATATTTGCCATTATGGCAGTTTTTGTGATATTCTACTAGCCTTGAACAAATATGTCTACTGCTATAAGTGGAAAAAACTCCTTCCTAGCCAACTATTTGCTTATTGCTGACTACATGCATGCTTACCATCTGGAGAGAAACTAAGCCTTTCCTGAAGGTATCAAACCTCTGTACATGTCCATATGTATGAAAACAAAGTAAATTCAAATTAGTCAGTTAGTCAGCAAGTCATGCCACAATCCAGTCTCTAGCTATGAGAGCAACAAGCAACTCAATACACTAAGAAAGCTACAAATGGGATTCACGATTCCAGACCTAGGAACAAGCTCAAATTCTGCATGGGCAAGCAGTTTTTCAAAACACTTGCCCAAAGGCAAGTCCAAAATAAATGTGGAGATTTTGCCTCAATACATATACCATTACCTATATTTTGTGTTTATATGTACCTATTTTTCTATTATATAGTTTCTTTTATATCTCAATTATGTATTTCCCTTGACACAAAAATGTGGAGATTTTGCCTCAGTACATATATCATTACCTATATTTTGTGTTTATATGTATTTATTTTTCTACTATATAGTTTCTTT